TGACTTTGCCCGGTAGGGAAGAGGAAACCTAATGTCTGCCACACACAATGCCTTTGCGCACAAGAGTCTTGCAGTTGCCACCATCGTCATCTAACTCATATGACTCCACACCCCGGGCTTCAGTATCCTCTTCTTGTAATAATTTAGAGACAACTAAACAGGTATCAAGGCGTACGTGCAGTACTCTACGCATTCTATTGCCATAAGCTTTCTTCAAAATGGGAAATGCTCTCTGAACTTCTGATGTGCATGAAAGACTACTTGCATATGCATACTTCATATCTTTAGGTTGAAAAATTTTGTTCCATCTAAGAAGTTTTTTGCATATTGTAAAATAATATATAAAACTAGGACCACAAAAAAAATCAATACAATAAGGATTTAACGGTGCTCAACATGTCCAATCACGTGATTGAACATACTCTATTTTGTTTCCTACCATTTAGATGCTGATAAATAAAAACAATTAAGAATCAGATGTCACTTGAAAGCAAGCATGCCTAGTGTTTGTCCTAACATGGTAAGATTATATTTTTCCAACTACATGATCTGCATCGTCAAATATCAAATCACACAGATGAGACCTCTTGTAAATTGTTACTAGAGAAAATAATTTTACCGGTCAAAACAGTTTAAAACAAGAGACAATGCGATAACAGTCTGACTTAATCAAATCTGGATGATATAGCATAAAGCTATGAAGCACAGACACTCTCGAAAACATGACGTATCCGTGTCGGACACAAACACTCTTCGGACATTCTCGGACATGTGTCGTACACTACGTTGATGACATGTCCAACACTTCTTTAGAACATGTCTACTACTAAACAATAGACATTTGTTGAAATGTGATTAACAAAACTTAAAAATTTAAGAACATATAATTACTAATACTAGACATATTAAAGTTGTACTCCAAATATAATAACAAAAATAAAATATGCATAAAAGTTTTAAAAAAGAAGAATTGAGAAAATGAGAGTAATTATTTAAATTATATTTTAGGTACATATTGTCTACAAAAATAAATTGATGATTATTGACTATAATGAGGATGTTTTAGTCTAATAATTCACATAGATGACTAAACATTATGTTTTTTTATCATAAAATACTGATTTTTTTATGAATAGTATATCATTATCACTACATTTGCAATAAAAATATGTTATATATAAAATATAATTTTTTTGTAGTGTGTCTCTAGAGTGTTCGTGTCCTACTTTTTTTAGAAATATTGTGTCGGCGTGTCCGTATCGTGTCATGTCGTGTCGTATCCGTGTCCCGTGTCCCGTGTCCGTGTCCGTGTCCTTGCTTTTTAGGCGTAAAAGATCAAAAAATATGAAAACAATGATGATTATCTAATAGGTATAGTGGCAGTGAGAAATAAACAAAACAATTCTTAGTGAATGTCAGAGAGTTTCCTTAATTTAATTTTTTATTGTAATTAGACATCATTTTTGCAAACATGGCATTCAGCCAAAAGGTTACATATTTCATCTAACAGACCCACTATACAATAGATTGATAAATTCATCTTCGAATTCAAAATACGAAGAACCAAATTAGTAAAGCAATTAGGTTGTACACAAACGTGCCAAAATTTTGCTAGAACTGTTGAATGGTACATGAAGCAAGATGTAAAGTGCTTCAATAAATGATCATAGATAGTTAGTTACCTTCAAGCTTACTTAAAGCCTCTGCATTTCTGGCGGTTCCACCTGTATTTTTCGAAGACACTTATAGAGGTTAAGAATGCATGGCAGAAAAAAATATTAGTTTTTTCCTTATTGCAAAAAGAGATAAACCAACACAAATCAACCGACACGAAAACAAAGAATAAATCATACATAGCACACATAGCCAAACATAGACCTGAAACACTATATATATAGCCAATTATTAGGATCGCATCCTGAAAATTTCACAGAAAAAAAACATCCGAACTTTGCATTTTTCAACTACTAAATTGATACCCAAATCAGAAATTATGTTTAATGTGGTGGTCACAGTCAGTGGCATCGAATAAGAATTGGGAAAAAAGAACAATTTTAATCAACCATACGAGAGAGAAAGAGAGAACGAAACAAAAATATACCACAACCAAAAGTACAAGAGATAATATCGGTGATGGGCGTGATTTGGGGTGAAAAGAGCTCACAAATGGAATGCCTCCACCATTAGGAACCCGTCGAGAAGTGTTAGGCCTCCTCGACATCGCTGACATTACTATAATCACACTGGTAATGACTATAACTCTGCAAGACCTATTATTAACTTAAGTGAATATTCAAGATTGCAATTAATCTAATTTAAACAGAGAAGAGAGTTACAAAGAGTAGAGAGAGAGAGGGAGCGCTACCTGAAAATCAGAGAAGATAAGTTGGAGATGGTGGAGATGAGATCTAGATCTATTCATAACTTTGGTTAATTATACTTTCAACCCCACACTATAATATTGATCTCATTCTATCCCTCTGCTATCCGTTGTCTAACCTTCTCTATTTTAGAGAGCATAGTTTTTCAAATAGAGAGCATGTATCATAAAAAATTGAAGATAGAGTGTAAAATATTTTTAACAACTCCAATTGACTCTTTATTATAAAAAAAAAATAGTCTTATAGTCAATAACATTTAATAAATAATGTATATGTGTCACCTTGTCATTCATTAAAAATAGAATATACAGTGAATTAGTTTCTCCAAATGTAAAGAGTTAAATAAGGCTCTCTATTTTAGCTAGTCTAAATAGAGAGGCCATTGGAACATGATTTTTGGTGGTTGACTCTCAAAAATAGAGTTGAGTGAGATTGGAGAGCCCTTTGAAGTTGTTCAAATTAGTTACTTGGGCCGGTTTGGTCCGATTGTTTAGCCACCCTTTTTAAGAAATGAGAACTTCAATAGAAAACATCACCTAAAAAAGTCTCATGTTTGGGTGGTCGCCATACTAATAATAACATTTGTCTATATATCACCACCTATTTACTAAGATTTATCTTAAAATTGTGATTTCATATTTTCACGAAGTCATCAACTAATAGAATTTGAGACAAAAGAATCTTATATCCAATTTTACAAAAGTTAGATTGTCACTAAAGCACATAATCTCATAAAAATTGGGAACTTTGTTGATCAAGTTCATATACACGCGATGATTGACAAATTTTTTCATATCCTGGATCAGGGGAAGTGGTATATGGTTGCTAATAAATTAGCTAAATTTGCTTCAAATTATAATGATCTTTGTTGTTGGAGTGGAGATTGTCTAGACTTCTTGTACTCCCGTCTCTAAGATGATTTGTTTGGTTAGCTATTAACATATCAATTTTGTTGTTTTTATCAAAAAGAAAAAAAAACCTTCTACTATTTCTCAAGCAATTGTAATTGAGAGACACAAATCTTTAGTGACCGGAGTAAATGCTTACCTTTGATAAGTCTTAACCATGATTCAAAGTATTACCCGATATCAATACGAGTAGTATACGACTTGACACCTTATGAGTTGATATTGTTCCACAATACGTATATACCCTGAGTCTCGCACAGCTCGACTAAATCAGCCGAGTTGCACTTGATTCAATCTCAAGTTGCCAAGTTATCGTCACTTGAATCGGCCGACGTGCTTCTGCGATGTCGAGATATGACAAGAATCTCTCGTCATGTTCAATATTTTTTTAGATCGTATCGTTCAATACCCGTGACCTTGAACCATCGTCTTAACAAATAAGTTTCATTTTGTTTCAAAATTCATTAACACGTGGGTATTTTTTTTCATCAAAACTTAATGGACAGTCAATAGTGGAATAAGATGAAACTAATTAGAAGATAATATAAGATAATTGATAGTTGTGGGGCTAAGTAGAATATAAATCATAATTTATAGAGGTTATGTGATATTGTCATTGTGAACTGTATGAACATCTTATCCTTCTTATGAGCAGTCTATGTGAATATGAGCCGGAGGAAGGATTCCAGAAAGTAAAATTCGATATTGCAAGTGCAAGTCGATGTTACTGATATGTAAGTGAAAGCCGACCCTAAGCAAGATCCAAAGACGTTTAAGTCCAGTTCTAATTTTGATATAAAAATGAAGTTTCATCGTCGAAAGTGTCTTTTACTTCGGTCTTCTTTTTTTTCGATAAGAGCCGATGCTTCCTCTCAAACAGAGCTCCTCGCAAAAATTCCAGATCATTGAAGAGGGATCCAAAATTCATTTTTCTATCAATTACCTCGATGTTCCCTTGTCGCTCAAGGGGGTGTTTGGATCGACACGAGTGGATCAGGTTAGATTGGATTTGAATTCGAATCCAATCTAACCCAACCCACTGCAAAGTAGCCCGTTGCAGTCTCCAACCTTGGACCGCGCTTTTGATAAAACGGCAAGAGATCCAAGCAACTAGCGAGCTAGGGTTTATAGCACACTACGCGACGAGGCCTCTCACTCTATCTCTCTTTGTGAAAATGTTTATGGTAAATTATCATCTGTCAACCTCAATTTCTTCATCAACCTCTGGTTTCTTAGGCCAAAAACAAATTAAGCATCAGGTAATTAATATCTCCATCCTCTCTACTTCAAGTTGCTAAGTGGAATGTAAGGAAAAAATAGAGAGAATTCGAATGTGAATTTTTCATGAACAGAGAGTAATGCTGCTGAAATAATCCTTTATTTTTCCTCTAATGATAATTTTGATAGTGTACTATTTCACTTTTGCAGAACCCAGAATTTTCCATTCCGACGAAAAATAGTGGGATTTGTAGATGCATTGCCACCCCTACCGTAGAGAAAAATGGTATTTCTGCCTTATATTGCTTTTTTCGCTCTCAATATGCAAAATTTTTTAGCTATTTTTCATTTGGTTCTGGAAAAATTCGAGGAAAATTTGAGAAAGGGAATTTTTTTTTTTAGTTGGTAGTTCATGTCTAAAGTACTTATAATGTTGTGAACTGCTTGTGATGTACTTGAAGTTTGGGAGATGTAGTAGAGAAAATAATTTCTTATGGTATCTATACTAATGCCAACATTTTTTGGTGCATTTTTAAAAGCTTATAAGACCAAGGTGTCCCGCAATGCAAACATGGCTAAACTTCAAGCTAGTTACCTCTTTCCTGAGGTTTGTCATGACTCTTGCATTTTTTTTGCACAATTTCTTTGTCCCTTTATTTCCTCAAATTTTGTTTGCATAACTAGTGAATTTATGTTGTATCCATACTCAAGGGTTGGAAATTTGCATCAAGTGGAAAGGTTCTATCTTTTCCAAATCGTTTGTCACAGTCCCAGTCTTGACACTTCCAGTGACTCACTTCCACACATGTTTTAATGATATTGATTCACTTGTCAAAGTCACCTCTTGTTTTTCTTATTTCTTGTAACAACTTTTTTGGGTGAATGAATGATCTGAGGTATAGTTGTTTTGTATTTAGTATAGTTGTTTTGTATGTCTTTTGTATTTAGTATTAGTGTAGTTCAATATAAAGTTAAATGATGGTCGGTTTAAGAAATCAAGCATCAGAGCGAAAGAAGCTAAATTCAAATTTAGACTGGAGCATCACCAACAAACCTGCATCATTTTTGTTTGCAGCCGGTGTTATCCAAAATAAATACATTGGCGGGAATGTTTTCCACATCAAAGTCAAAGCAAATCACATAGCGTGAACTAGTACACAATAATGCTACTCACCTTACGCAACGTGTAAATGGATTCAAGATACTTGCACAAAGCATATGCATTGTTCAAGTTTCTTAGATTTCTAAGAAGATCCCGAAGCACAACATTATCGGATAAAGCTATTGTCATTCCTCCTCCGATTAGCGGATGCCTCGTGTTGAAGGCATCCCCTAGTAAAAGTGCACCTGGAGTGGGATGAGCAGCAGCTAACATGCTTCTATTTGGCATTGATCTTATGTTTCCTTCATCAATTGCTGACATGAAGGTACTATATAGCTCACAAGGCATCTGAAATATGCAAAAAATCTCTTATCACGCTAAAATTATACTAAATTGAAATACACAGATTTTTTAGCCAGTGGCCCATTGAGATGGTGAGTCAAAACGCAGGAATTGATGTGAAAAGATGGCATGATATGATGGAATAATTGAACATGTATTTGACCATCATGCAAAGCAAACAAAGTCCCATGACCACAAAATAAAGTAGAATTAACTCTATATAAGAGAATGAATATACATATTTTAAGGAGAGAAGTTAAAACAGCTTTGTACATGGAAGAAGTTGAATTTGTTTAATGTTCACATTGCTCTTTAAATACACCTCATGCACTCTATTGTGACATCAAAATAAGTGTCTAAAAACCAATGTAGGCATGTTACATATACCTAACGTGCAACCATGGTCTTCAAATAAGAGGACATTTCACCGCTAGAAATGGAAGGCAACTTTCTGACCAGGTATGTCTACTAAACTGCGAACCTCAGTACTGCTGATTTTGTACAGCAAGATTGGTGAAGGATTTGCTAAAATAACATGTCAATGATTTGGGTATGGAAGTTTGCAATTCTTTAGGATCAGGGCAACAAAACAAGAGGGAATGTCTACTTGCAAAATCAAAATGACATCGTTTTTATCATCTAACAAAATAAACGAAAAGTACACATGCTAGAATTCAAAATTGATTTTCAAACGTATCTCTAGAGAGCATGAAAAAAATTACACACTCAAGTTGAGGTTACCTATTCACCTTGGGCTTGCATAGAGAGCGTCACAAATTTGAGAAGCAACCGTCACGTACAATTCTAAGAGGAGCAAATTCTTTCAAATCCTGACCACTTGCTGTCTTGTATTTCACTCCTTTTACAGTTCCCTCTTCTTCAATTGGAGATGTCATTGTTTCCTTGTTCCAATATTACACTGAATAACATATTATGGAAGGGTCATTAGGAAGCAAGATCAAAAAACTATTAATTTTTCACTTATATGAATGGCATAAATTTCGGAGGCCTAAAGTGGATAAGGAAGTGATCTAGAAAGGAAACAAAATCTATATAATTGTTCTAGAACTGAATAATGTTACACAGTAAGATACCAATAAAAGAATTTGATTAAAAATCAATCGTCTCTAACTTTAGAATGATCAAATAAGTCGTATCGTGTTAGAAGTTGTCATATACGACCATTTATAATTATGTATAATTGGAATTGAATTGTCAAGTTTGAGTCGTTTATAGTTGGTCTTGTATTATCTATAAGTAGATTTTGTATCAACAAATTTACTAAAGGAGTCTGAGATCAATTGAAATATGGCCTAAAACTTATTAAAATTAAACAATATCTTGTTGTCAATTGGGTGTCGTATTGGTGGATTGTGTCAAACACTGTAAAGTCTACTATTGTATTTAGTTTTATTTTATCTGGAAGGAAACTATATTTTTACTGTCTTATTGCTATTTCGTTTCTTACATGTTTTAATTGCTACTATTTTTTCTTAGAAGATATAACCTACTTGTGTGAAGGAGATGTACAAGAGTAAAAGGTCTAATATTTTAATACCCAGATTATTACGCCCTTTGTTTGGATCAAAATTTATCAATTAATAATTTCATTACCTTTGGACCAATGTAGTTGTGGTCATCGTTCATCAGGGCTTCGGTCGCTGAGTTTCTTATCATTAGGTCACCAACTTCCTTGATCTTCCGACATTAGGCAGGTGTCAACCCCCATATATGGTCGTAAGACTTTGCGAAAATCTATGTTTTTGGTAAACAGTTGTCCAAGCCTAGTCACTACGACCGCCTTTGTGAGAGGGCACCCCTTCTCCCAAAGTTACGAGGCTATTTCCTTGCAATTTTCGCAACCTCCAAATATATTATCTTTTAGTCTACATTCTTATCATTTTGACATTTCCCCATAGAAAAAAAATGTCTTAATATTCTTATTGTCGTATACTATGGCACTTAATAAGTGACCGGTGTTCATAAAATTATATTGTAATTTAAAATCCTTGTTAAAGAATATAGGATAGATTATACTTCTTTTTTATTTTAGTTTAACGGTCAGAGATGTTTGAGTCAGTTGAGTGCTACAATTGAGTGATGAGAATGTAAAAACTATAGTGGTTCATCCTACTGAAGAGCAATAGTAATCCATTGTTCAAGGAAGTCTCTTGATCCTTGAAGGCATTTATTGCTTAGAGAAGAAGAGGATACACAGTAGGGTTTTTGGCTTAGGAGCAGTGTGTTTGCTTACCCCTTATTACACTGTTTTATTGCTTTTATAACAGATTTGTCAAGGAATATTGGGGGAATATTTGGCCGTTGGGAGGTTTTTTGATCAAGGTATGACGTAAGCTTTTAGAAGCAGTGACCTCTTACCCAAGGTAGGGATTTTTGATAAAATACCCCTTTTGCCCCTCCAGGTAATTCCCATGTTGAATGTTATTCTTAATTGGTGTTGTGGTTCTGGAGGTGCATTTTGTCCTGAATTGTCTTCAAGTCAGCTTAGGGATACATTATTTGACCTATCCATTTTCTTTGGTATCATTAGGTGCCCTTTAGCCCTGAGTTGGACTTGAGAAGCCCCTTAGTTGGGGCTGAGCTTTCATTTCATACTCATCCGTTATGTCTCTAGGATCTTGCATAATTGAAAAGACATGTCTGACCGTTGTCCCATCATTGCACAGTGATGACAACGTGTCGCGTATTTGGTGCCTCAATTTTTAGGGCATGCTTGATGCAACTGTAAAGTCTTAGGACCTATATCCTAACCCCCTCTCTCTTCTAGAATGTCTAATTATTGGCCTTGTAAAAGCGCTGAATTTATTTGGACTACGCAGTCTTAGTTGTGTCGGGTGATATTGGTAATAGCGGTGTGTAACTATCAAAAAAAATTGACACCAACTCCGCCTCCTTTGGAGTCGGAGTTTAACGGAGTCGAAGTCAGAGGAATATTTAGACTTTGATCAAAGTCAGAGTTAGAGTCGAAGTTTGAAATCATTTTCTAAAAAACTATGACTCAAATTTTTATTAATGAATAATTTTATATAAATTATAAATTACATAATATATTATTAGAAGTGAAAATTAAAAGTGAGTCCCCCTAGATGTACTTGTTTGGAGATAAGTCCTGCAAAAAAACTTATAAGGGGCTAAATTTATATTTAAAATTTTATGTATTGACTTAAACCCGCTTTTTCTTTTTATCTCAAAAATACCATTTCTTAAAAGAAAGTTAATTTTTTCTTTCTCATATATATTTATATCTATATATAGGTTAAGAGTTTGACTAATATTAAATTTTTTGCTGCTATATATATATATATATATATATATATATATATATATAAAATAACATTAAAAAAATAGTAACATTCAAAAATATAAAAAAAAGTTACTATGAATTTGAATAGTAAAATTCAAATTCATGTTAATATTTTTTTTTATTATGTTATTGCTTTTGTTGAATATGTTACTATTCATGTACTTTTATTTTTGAGTATGTTACTGTTTTTGTTGAGCATGTTACTACTATTATTTTTTTAAATATTAATTTTCAATGTTACAATTTTTTTTTTTGAATATTACTATTTTTGTATTTGAATGGTACTATTTTTTGTGTTTGAATTTGAGAGAAATAATTATTGTTAAGTATGTTACAATTTTTGTTAAATATGTTACTATTTTTGTTGAACATATTAATATTTTTGTTGAACATGTTACTGTTGTTATTTTTAAAAAATATTAATACTGAATGTTTCAATTTTTTTAATGTTTAAATATTACTATTTTTTTATGTTTAAATGTATTATTTTTTGTATTCACATGATAATTTTTTTTTATTTGAATGTTACTATTTTTTATTTTTAATGTTACTATATATATATATATATATATATATATATATATAGAGAGAGAGAGAGAGATAAGAGAGAGAAAAATTTTTAATATTAGTCAAACGCTTAACCTATATATGAATATAAATAAATATGAGAGATAAAAGATTTTAATGTTAGTCAAACTCCTAAGATTTATGAGTTTTTAATTTTTAGTTTTATTTCACTTCTAATGGGAAGGGATAATTTGATAAAATTGACAAAAAACAGATTTCATAACAAATAAATTTCCTTGACGGACTTAAGTCCAAACAAGTCTATATGAGAGGACCGGTCTCCAAATTTCCTTTATTATAAATAAAAAAATCTTATCTTATTATACTCTATCCCCTAAGCCCAACCCCACCAAAATACATCAGCCCCTAAGCCCAGCCCAGTTAAGTTATTACTATACTTGCAGCCCACAATTTGCTCACAAGTCCCAAGTCTCAATTCCTCTCTCTCTCTCTCTCAAAGACGAGTAGCCTAGCCCTTCCATCTCTCTCCCTCTCAGTTGATAGATTTCAGATGGAATCGCCCACAGATTCTCAGATTTGAGATCTCAATGAAGCAGTGATGGTTCACCAGCGATGGACTCGTCTCCAATTAAAGCTCTCACTTGCAATGGTCTCATATCTAAGATCTAAGAACCATATCTCTAATTGAAGCTCTGTTAGACAGTATCTCTCTCTCTCTCTCTATCAAACAATATATATATATATACTCTGCACTTTATTGTCTATTTTTTTTTTTTGGATTTTTTCCATTTCTAAAATTCTGTTCTGATTCCACTCTGACTTCCGCTCCGAATCCAATTGGCAGAGGTGGAGGTGAAGTCAATGTTATTCGGAGTTGGAGGGGAATACTCACTCCGACTGAAGTAGGGGTCGAAGATCAGATTCATGTCTTTTGACTCCATTGGAGTCGGAGCCCTCCCCAAATTGGTAAATAATCAACCCGAGCTAAAAGCTTTAATTAGTCTGGTGAGTAATCGCTCAAGCATGTCTAGTGTGCTCGTTGTTTTTGACTGAGTAGTCTAAAGTGCTAAGTTGAATTGATTATCTTTTAGGTTGAATTGCCTTAGAACGGTGTACACACTTACGCTAAGCAAGCCCATTATTCCCAGCTTAGTAGTCTAGAGTTTTATGTCGAGCTAAATAATCCTTTAGTCCAGGCAGTCTATGAAGGCTGAACATGTTTACACCGAGCAGGCTTCTTGCCAATGACTGAACAGTCTAGGTTTAGTTGTTCGGTCCCTTAGGTTGAGTAGCCTAAGAGGGATACAAATTTTCATAATTACATTTGGTAAGCTTGTCATCTCTAATTGAGTAGTCTAGAATTTTTTTTGGCTAAATAGCTTGATTACGTATGCCTTTTAATTATTTTCGAGTTCTAATCTATGCAATAAATTATCAAACTTGTTTTCATGCTAAAAAGAATTTGCACATTAAAACTCCAAAATTGAAAGCACTACATTGTTTTCATCAATGGTAAACTTAAATAACTAACCTGAACAAACTATTGATAATACTTTCTAAGGTGTTGTGCATTCCATGTGTGAGCTAGAGTTTGTTCTTCCTCATTTTGCAACTCTTAGTTTCCAGGCATGACTACCCTTTTGACCAAGTATGGTCCTTAGTTTGGTCTGAGGTTGTCATGATGAGGATTTTTCATTGTTGCTAGAACCTTCTTTAGGACCAAGTCTCCTTCTCTAAAGCTTTTCTTCTTGCCCTTTTGGTTATAATATCAAGTTGTCCTCTGGTGATAAATAGCAATCTTATGAAGAGCTTCATTTCTTTTATCATCAAGAAGGTCAAGGTTGAGGAGCATTAACCTATCGTTTTAATCAGGTCTGACCAACTCTGTTTTTGGTGACAAAAGTTCTATCTTCACCAAAGCGAATGCTTCTGTCCCAAAAGACAAGCTAAAGGAAGCTTCATTTGTGGTTGTTTAAGTTCTATTCCTGTAAGCCCATAGAACATTGGGAAGGTGATCCACTCATTGAGTCTTTGAGGCTTTTA